ATGATACATTGGAAGAATCCGTTGGGTCTTCCAATATCAATAGGTTGATTGTTTCACTCCTGTATCTTCCAAAAGGAAAAAAAATCTATGAGAGTTCTTTCCTGAATCCGAAAGAGAGTACTTGGGTTCTCCCAATAACTAAAAAGTGTAGCATGCCTGAATCTAACTGGGGTTCGCGGTGGTGGAGGGACTGGATCGGAAAAAAGAGGGATTATAGTTGTAAGATATCTAATGAAACCGTCGCTGGAATTGAGATCTTATTCAAAGAGAAAKATCTCAAATMTMTGGAGTTTTTCTTTGTATATTATAGGGATGATCCGATCCGCAAGGACCATGATTGGGAATTGTTTGATCGTCTTTCTTTGAGGAAGAGGCAAAATAGAATCAACTTGAATTCGKGACCACTATTCGAAATCTTAGTGAAACACTGGATTTGTTATCTCATGTCGACTTTTTGTGAAAAAATACCAATTGAAGTGGAGGGTTTTTTCAAACAACAAGGGGCTGGGTCAACTATTCAATCAAATGATATTGAGCATTTTTCCCATCTCTTCTCAAGAAACAAGTGGGCTATTTCTTTGCAAAATTGTGCTCGATTTCATATGTGGCAATTCCGCCAAGATCTCTTCGTTAGTTGGGGGAAGAATCCGCCCGAATCGGATTTTTTTGTAATTAAGATAATTACCTAAATGGTTATATATGTAATATATATATACACACACACACACTAGTTGTGTATTCATGTAATGCGACGGGATGTCAAATTTTCAAATAAGCATGCAACTAAAAATGAGTGTAACTATTCATTAAAAAGTACAAAATTTATATTTAGACATTTGATCTTTCAAGGGAACCCTTAAAAATATTTAAATCTCGATTCCTTATAGTTGAGTATTCGTGTGATGCAATAAGATGTAATCAAGTACAATGTAACAAATAAGAAATCAATGTGAACTTTATTGTACACAAGCATGAAAATCAATTATGTTGTCCAAATAATTATAATGAAGGAAGAAACATACATCTAGTGAATATTTGAAAAATAAATAAATTATCTTATACAAACCGAAATAGAAACCAATATCCTAATTAACCGAAATGACCAAAAATCAAACCTCACCGCCTCTAGATCAACTACATCATATTTCAATCTCCACTTTAGTAGCCAACGTGAAAGCATCCATACCAACATCTACATCCAAGGAGTCTACAAATCCCTTTTGCATTCCACAAAATCCAAGGCTGTTTTTGCTTTGTTCATGATCAACCATCGAAAAAGGACCCTTTGAGCAGCATTGTCCAAACTCAAAATTATCGACTCTAAGCAACACGTCTTTATGAACAAAAAGCTTGAAGGCCATTAAGATGAAAACAAACAGACCATTTTAGCTACATTTTTTACATAAACAATAAGGTTTTGTACATGTAAACTGACTATGTAAACTGATAAGTTTTCTTCAACATATAACTATGTAAATTGAAAAGTCTTAAATTACATTAAAAAGCATGCAAAAAAAATTAGTGGGATTTTTATTTAGATGATGGAAGTGAAAAACCTGCTCAGTATGGTAGGTGATGACATGGTCCAGACCATGGAAGTGAGAAACCTACTCAATCTGTAGTTTTGTAACATAAAATAAAAGTGAGTGGATTTTTATCAAACAAATGGTAGGCATAGATTGTGAGCATTTAAAAACAGAAAACCAAAAATTGAATTCAAATTAAAAAAAGAAGAAGATATAATCTTACCATGATTCAAACCAAAACTTCATCTAATCAGATCAAAAGCAAATTCAATCTAACCTAAATTCAAATAAAACCAAACCTGAAAATGGATAGGGAAATTTGACCGATGATGAAAGCTTACCTGAATATCTTCAACAAAGATAAAATCGGAGATGGAAGCTTAACTGAATGTCAGCATAAAAAGATGAAAGCTTACCTGAATGCCTTGATTCGTCTTCTATGAAATCATCACCAAGAACCCAATATCAAAACAAATTTCTAAATAAACTTCAGACGTTCAAGGAAGTAGCAAAGCAGCATTTTAGCTCTCAAGCCTGGCTAAGGCAAAAGCTCTTAGGCGGCCACTGCGAATGTCTGTGAGAAACAACCCTTAAGATTACTATCACCGGTATAAAGAGTTTGACATTGATTAGTTGTATGTCAAGCTTATAATGTTGTTTTTAAAACTTTTAAGATTCTATGCATTAATAAACAGTACTTTATGCATTAAAAATTGTTTCTAAGATTTTTATGRAAGTTGGTTTATAAGGTAGTATAGATATAAATATCATTTCATGATTTCAGTATATTATCCATGAGTTAATTCCTGGTGAGAATGAGTTGTTTTGGGATTAAAGTAATCAAGGATTCAAATATCTTCTTACACTTCTCACCTTAACTCCTATTATCACACGATCATTCGTCTACTATCCATTGTATGAGTGTATATTAGTATATATAAATAGATTTTGAAGAATTTTTGTTTTCCGCCTCATGGCTTACTCCTGGTTGCCTCGCCGTGAGAAAACATCTTGCCTCACGTTTCCATATTTTAAAACCATATATAAGATAACAAAAAATTGGCAAGAATTAGGTAGAACTTTTTGGTTTTAGAACATAAACTTCTGGGGTTCGATTTATACAACCCAATTTGCAGTTCCACACTTACAAAAATCGAAAGGCAAAATAACAGTCGTTGCTTTTGCTGATGGATGGCTTCCTATGCCAAGATTAAGCATTTATTGTGTAAGAACTAAGAACCCTTTGTGTTAGTTAGATGCCTATCTAAATTTTGTGTAGTTATTGACAACTCGATCATTGTCTCTCATGCTATCAAGGTAGCACTAATAAGCTTCTTTGAGACACTGCATATCGAGGTTGGTTCAGATATTGGGATAACAATTGTAACCCCAGGACTCATCAAATCACCAATCACAAACGACGAATGGTTACTACAGGTACCTGCCTTCATTACTTTCTCTAACTTCTATTTCTAGTATGACTATATTAACTATAATACTAATATGAATGTGGCTACTGGGCAGACGAACTTAAATTGGGCACCATTATTATTGGTAAAAGGTTGTGCAAAAAAATTGTGTATAGCTCAGCCCATGGAGATGAGTAGTTGACGGAGCAAGGATATATGAGGATGCTCTTTTTATTGAAACTACTATGTCCTCAGATCCTCTACTCAACAGGAAATCCTTTAGCAGCAGCAGCAGCTCGTGTTTAGCCAAGTCAGAGTAAAGTCACAATTGTGTTCATGGGCTTTTGTTCAAGTATGTCGATTGGTATTCACATTTCTAGAAACACTAATCAATGAAATGTCCTGAAACCCAAGTTCTTAATACCCCCATGTGCACGATAAGAGTTTTATAATTTTTTGTATTGATTTCTATCTATCTGTACCACAGTTGAAGCAAATTTATTCAAAATTCAATGAACAAATTTTAATTACCCTTATGGGAGTGAAAAGTGAAATACTCGAAAACAATTTGTTGATGTGTACAAGAATATTGCCACCCAAGTTGGGGATCAACTAGCATCTTCGAATAATAAATTGCAGAAGCCTATAAATAAGATCAAAGAAAACAGAACCAACAAACAAAGGTGTCAAAGTACCTTATAGTTTTGATGTTCGCAAGAAGGACCTATGTTTCCCCGATTGCCATTGCAAGAGATCACTACTGTCTGCCATGATTGCTTGCAAAGGCTCACAGTTGTCTTGTTTCAGTTTTTACTTCCAGGATTAGTTTACGATGATAGATTAATTGGATCTAACTGTCGACCTAGAGGTGCTTGATCATCATTACTCGACTTTAGTCTACTAAGAAGCAACCATGCATCAGATGGTGGACAACCCAGGTGCCTTTTTGTGGCAACTGGAAGAGTCGAGGCTTCATTTATCGGCACAAGCATTGTCCCTTTTTAAATTTTGTGCATTTTAACAAGCCGAGAGAAATTCTCCATCAAAAAGTCGTATACCAAGAGATCAAGAAGCAAATAAAAAGGTTTTCGATAAAGTTCAACTATTTGTTGTTTAACTAAAAAGATTCAGAAATGGCTTATGTACCTCAAAGTTCACCAAAAAAAAAAAAAAAAAACTCTAAATTGCTTCATTATATCCTTCATATCCTGAACCCTCGATTGGTTTGAAGTAGACAGAGCAGCATTTACCTCCTCAGGAGAATAATCTATCGATTATGTTGTCCACCTTAATCTGATCAAAACAGAAGCTGAGAGGAACAACTGTTGAAACCAGAACATGATCATGTAGGAATTGAATAGAATTAAACAAAAAAACCTACCAACCGTAAGGTTAAATCTTCCAGATAGCTTTTTTAGAGAATGTAACTCAATAAGGATTATTTCAGATTCAGACCATGAATTTGTGAATGCCAAAAGTAAATTCAAAATATATTTCAAAGAAGTTAAACTTGCCAAGTAAAGGATTTACAATACGTATTACACTTAAGTAGCTCCATGCAAGGAGATATTATCAAAAAAACTGGTGCTTTCAGATAATTCAGTTAATACCAGACAAGGTAACAACACTCTTGTATATTACAAAAAATACATTTACTTCAATATTCATTATGGTTTGAATAGCAGATTCAAATATATCAAGAAGTTACCCAGATGAAAGTATGACTGCTCCACCAGCGTTTGGTTGCTGTCATGTTGGTCAGTTCAAGATCTCGTAAATAAGTTAGAGAATTGTCTATACCTCATGTCTTTTGACAGAAGAGTTTATTTCACTCTGTCTTGAAATAAGGTAGCTGTTATTCCAACTTGTATAGATGAGGAAAATAGTTTGAAGCTGGGATGAGCCATGATAGCAAATATACACAAGAGCATTTCTACCAAGCAATCCCGAAAGAGTGTCAAGCTGCTTATATGTGGTTCTAGATTACACACATTACATATATTAAACTACAAAAGTATTCACACACCTCATGAGTTGTCAACTTACCAAGAGAGTAACTTATGCCAAAAACAGTTGCTTCACACTTCATCCAAAAAGAGTTGCTTCACAAAAAGCTTAAAACAGGAAATCAAATCAGATGCATAATGTGATGTTCATCTGCAAAAGCGTCATGAGAAGTAAAATCAAAACAAAAAACAAAATCTCAAATCAAGAGTTAGGGTTTTTATATGGTACCTCAAGGTTAATATCAAAATCGAGCAGGAGCATCTTGCTATGTGGTGCGATTGCTAGAGGAAGAGAGGATTCAGTCATCAGTCATGTAGGTTTCTCAAATTAAAATCATTGAATGATGTTGGTTTCTTTGTTAGATCAATTTGTTAAATGATGTAGAAAATTCTATCAACAAATGGAAGACCAGTGGATGGCATGGTGAGAAGAAAAAATTTGAAGACATTTTCTTTTGCACAGACCTAAAATTAGCTACAATAAAAATTAGAATGAATAAAGAATGGTGTGAACATACCAAAGAAAGAAAGAAACGAAGAAAGAAAGGCAGAAAGAATGAAATTGTTAATAAGAAGGAAGAAAGCTGGAAAGAAATAAAGCGAAGTTGTAAGTTTCAACTTGGATGTTGTTGGCGGTGTGCATCAACAATTGTATCTTATGTATGTGAAGTTGTAATTAAATGATTTTTGAAATATATGTATAAAAGTGTAGTACTTTGGGATTTATAGGTTGTATTTAAGACTTTTGATCTAAATGCTTATTAATGTAGTATATATATATAGAGGAGTGATCATATGAAAACCGCCATCATTTGTGTAAACCGTGCAAACCACCTTCATCTGTCGATTTCATTGTTTAATCTTATGAAATTTTTTCATGAAATTGTTTAATATAATACTTTTTTTGATGAAGTTGTTTCATATATGGTTGTGAAATTGTTTCATATAATACTTAATGAAACTGTTTCATGTATTTCTCTAAGATTAATGAAACTGTTTCATGTATTTCTCTAAAATTAAAATTATGAAGATGATAATATTTATGATTAACACCCTCCACAATAAAAATGATTAATCAACCTCTCATAATTACAAAAAAATGAACAAAATGAAAAATTATGATTGGTTGAATGCGGTTTGCACGGTTTGTACAAATTGAGTGGTTTGCATTTGATCGCTCCCCTATATAGATATATACATATATATATATGTATATTAGTTTTGTAGCAAAAGGAATATATATATATATACATATATATATATATTAGTTGCGTAATCACACAATTGGACCAGACATAAAATGTTTTTGCCATGAATATAGTATACCAGTGAAATTCAAGTACTTTTTAACGTTGCTTACTCTACCCGTTAGATGGCAAGCCAATTCCATATGGTATCTTAGGGGTGAAAAGGTTTTTAAACGCAAAGGCCAAGAAAAAACACCTTTGAAAAATGACATAATGATTAGGGGTGTATATTTTCTACCAACTGAACCTTCTAAAATAACCATAATTAAAGGGTCGTTTACTAAACACTCATCTTGGTAAATACTTACCGGCTCAATGATCTTACCTGTTAAATATAAAAAGAAATGAAAATCTTATCAGGTAAGAGGGAAAACAAGGATCGAGAGACTTACCCGATAAGTATTTACCATCAATCTATTTTGATGGCCGAGAATGTTACCCCATAAGATAAATTAAAGTGCTAACATTTATGGGTAACCAATTACCTGGTAAGAATTTAGGAAAAGGCCCCTAAAGGTTTTACATACACGCAACAATTTAGATTACACACTTGATAACTATTTTATTGAATATATATAATGCAAATTTTGAATGGTAAAACATATCTCAATTAAACAACTTGGTTTGAATGACATGACAGTTATTCGATTCAAATGACTTAAAAATCAAATTTCCACTCAACAAAAAAGAAAAACAAATTTCAAATAGATTTGAAACAAAGATGGCAGCTTCACTTTTTGCGTTGGATACTCCACAGAGAGCATCAAGCTGCAATGTAACAAAAGAGCCATAAACATATCCAGTACACTCCAATTATATACAATTAGAAAGACGCCAATTATAGATGCATTCAAGAACAAAAGCAAGTAATGAAGTTAAATTACAAATCAAGAAGTCCAGCAAAGAACTGTATGTTAGACTAATTTTGATCTAGGATCGATTTAACGCATCAATTTTGAACCATTTACATGCGATTAACTGCAATAATAAGAACATACCTGGCAATATTGAAGAACTCTGATTTAGGTTACTGTTTTGTTCTTCATCCATGCTTTAATAAGATACACCCTTTATGTCCTCACCATTTGATGGTAATTGGTGACTGTTTAGGATCGTATATGTGTTCTTAGGAGAGATGAATGAATTAGATGCAGAAAATGTCATATTTATATCACTGTATTGC